AGTTCCCTTCCCTGCCTACAAGAGGCAGGCCATTTCCTCCTGGCTGCGGAGGATGCAACAGTGTCCTTGGTGCTGCAGCCCAGGCTGGTGAGCAACAATATTGGGGTAGAAGGACCAAACCCCAGCACCAAAGGACAAGGATGGTGTTGCAGGAGTTGAGCGTGATCACTACCCTGAGTGGCTCAGCAGCTCAAAAAAGAGTGAGGCTCTAGAGGGATCTATTGCTTCAGCAGCTTTGATGGGATCTTTGCATCCTCTGTAAGAGATGCTGTGACACAGAGCAAAACAGCTCCTTCTGTTGAGAGCAGCATTCACCAGCGCTGAATGACTGGCACTTCCCTCATCCCTCCACCCACAGCTCCTTCATGCTTGTTTAGAGAGATTTCTGCAGAACTTAGTAACTGAGAGCAGAACTTCAGTTTCAGAGCTCTACCAGAGATCCCAAGGGCTGAATGTGGCCTAAAAACCACTTTCATCAGCGGCTACTGCTGCTTGTTAAAAGAGATGATGCTACAAAACTCCTGCTGACGCAGGGACACCTTTCCATACACAAGTGTTGATCACAGCAGTTGTTCAAAAGTCTCAGTACAAGACCAGTCCATCCACAGCCAGCAGATACCAAGCGTGTATATTTTTCGGAGTCGTGCTGCTGTGGCTCGATGACAGAAACCAGCCTGGTCTGATATTTTCTATTTTACGTGCCTTCTACCAACACAGCTGCTGAAGAACCACCCAAATGTGTCCACTGCCATCTATTGGTAAAATCGCAGAGAGACAATGTTTTGTTCGTACGGTTCTGCAGCATCTGCTGTTAGAGAGAAACCTCTGGGACTTTGTGATAAGGATGAACGTTTCTGAAGGCAGTTTTTTTTAACGTTTGACTCTAAAAAGATTTTTCAGGGCATCTATTTCTCTTAGCTCCTCCTTTGGAAAACTCGGCTGTGCAACAGAAGCAAAAATTTTCTTTGTCCCCTTTGCAGAGGCAGGAAGGACTTTTTAATGTGAACAGTAGTGGTGTTCTTGTGGCCACATCCTTTGTAAACAGATGCGGTGGAGCCATCCCTGTTTACCCAAGCCAAAGACCTTGGTAGTTCCTTCCAAATGACTCATGAGAGATTGTTTTATATTTTAACATGCAGTGCCCACTGAGAGAGAAAACACAATATCATAGAATGGTTTGGGTTAGATGGGACCTTAAAGATCACCTAGTTCCAACCCCCCTACCGTGGCCAGGGACACCTTCCACTACACCAGGTTTCTCAAAGCCCCATCCAACCTGGCCTTGAACACCTCCAAGGATGGGGCAGCCACAACTCAGGGCAACCTGGTCCACTGCCTCACCACCCTCAATGTAAAAAACTTCTTCCTCAGATCTAATCTAAATCTCTCCTCTTTCAGTTTAAAGCCATTGCCCCTTGTCCTGTCGCTATATGCCCTTGTAAAAAGTCCCTCTCCAGCTTTCTTGTAGCCCCTTTAGGTACTGGAAGGCTGCTATAAGATCATCCCAGAGCCTTCTCTTCTCCAGGCTGAACAGCCCCAACTCTCTCAGCCTGTCTTCATAGGAGAGGTGCTCTGATGTTGTCAACCTTGCAAGCACAGGGATGTTTGTGAGTGTGTAGGACTAGCTCAAGGATGGATGGAGCAATGTTAGCTTAAAGCAGCTGGGAAACTGATTTGCAGCTTTTGGGTTGAGCTGGTTTCTAAACCTTACCATTTTCACAGGTGACCAGGGCAGGGCTGTGGGCTCTGAGGGAGTTACTTCCAGTGAAGAGCAGGTTTAAGGAAGAAAACTCTTATCCCCCTTATCTTTCACTGACTCTGAGTGGGGCACTCATAGGACATTGGTTTTGTAGGAAGGTTGCAGTGGAAGAGGAAAGCCCAAAACCATAAGGACCAGAACAGAAGCGAAGAACTGAACATAGAGGACACTGCTGTGTCCTGATCTGAGACTGATAATTAACCATTTGTCACTGCCCAGCAGTACCTTCTGCCCCTTAATATCAAACCTCTGGAAGATGAATGATCACAGGCATGTTCCTCAGCTGCAAGAACTGTGCCTAGACCAGCTACCTCCCACTGGATCATCTCAGAAAAGCCATTTCTGCCTCCATCTCAATTATAAGGCAAAGAGTGGTGGAGGGAGGTGGAAGGATGAATGAGGGTAAGGGGATTAAAAAAAAACAATGCAGCCTGAAAAGGAGACCCAACATGCTTTCATGCATAAAGACTTGCAAGGTGCATGCCTTTCAGCTTTCTTCCACTTGCAACCCTCTGCGTGATCTCCATATAGCCATGCCTGCAGACAGAGCTGTTTGACCCCTGCCTAGGCTGTCTTTCCCTTGAGATATTTCAGAGTCCCATGAAAGCAGCCTGAGGATCTCTGGGGCCCATGGGCTGTAGGTTAAAACCCACTTAGTTGGTGTAACTCCAAGGATGACTCTCCTCCAGGCCAAGGATGTATTTGCAGTGGGTCACAAATAGATGGAGTAAGAACACAGCAATGACCAGACCCTGCTGCCAGCTTGCCTAAGATCCAGGTCCATCAGAGACCAAACCCAAACAGACCCAGGGGAATTTCCAATTTCCATCTATCTCCTAACGTCTAGAAATAAATGAAAACTCTGGAGATGTTGTTTTAATGAACTTTTCTAAAGTCCTGGGAGTTATTTCTCATACTCTCACTCATATCTATACTTTCACCTATATCTATATTGAAGCCTCAACCTCTGGTTTTCAGCACTTCCAGCAGTCCAGGGTTTTAGGGATGGCAGGACCTCAGGATGAACACATCCTATCCTGTCCCTTTGGAGACAGGTTGGCAGCTTAAGTAGAGGCTATTGGTTCGAGTTCTTCTCCATGCTCGTACCGCCGTATGCCATGTGGCTGTCATTTACATCACAGTCATAACACAGCGTGTCGGTCCCCTCCCTCCCAGAGTTGTACCCTGGTTGTACCCTGCGTGAGCAGGATTGGGTGATAGGTGACCACCTACGTGTCTGAACGATGCGCGTTGCCCTCAGTCAGGCATCACGGCTCTCCCCACCCAGAATGCATATCCGCTTTCCCCATTCACTCTCTCCATCGACCTTCTTAATAACATAAAAATGTTCTATGCCCTACCTGGAGGTCACCAGCTCTTTCTGCACTCATGCCTTCCCCCTCCCCTCCCAGACATTTCCCAGGGGGTCCTTGCAGTGTCGGAAATGCAACAGTCTTACCCAACTCCACGTATGCCAGACCAAGCAGGAGCCCAACCAGAAGTGTCTTCATGCTGAGAGTAGATCCGTGCAGCCAGGACAGTAGAGGAGAGCTGCTCCCAGGGACCTTTATATGTTTTCCCGCTCTCCACCTCCTGTTGATCCTGTGGGCGGATTCCCTCTGAGTGATCAGAGGAAAGCTCAGCTCCGGTCTGGATTGGGATTTGTAGAGGAACAAGTTCCCCGAGGAGGTGACATCACCGTGATGAGCAGACTCCTGCCATACCTTGTCTCTTCTTAGGTTTATGTCCTCTGGGCTGGTCCCATGGAAAAGCAAAAACACAGCTTGCACTGCAACAGATGGCCCCAAGCCAGTGCTTGGATAGGGAATGTGACAAGGTATGTTTGTTCCTTCAAGTCTGGCTCCATGAGCTGAGAGCTGGGTTGTGTCATGCCTGTTGCATTGGACAACAGTCAAGATGTAAGCGGCAGCAGGCTAAGATTCCACGCACGTTCGCTCAGCCTCACCAAAGCCTGTGCTGTGTTTTCATGCCTACTGCTCTCTGGGCTGGCAGACGGGAAGCTGGTGTGGCTGGGTTTGCCCAAAGCATGTCTGTTTTCCCAAATCCAGTGCAAAAACAAGCCTGGTTTCTGGCTCCCAGGGGCTGAGCCCTGGTGCTGAGCTGTTTGGCAAGAGAATCACCGAAAGGCCAGTGGAGGTGAATGTGGGAAATGGTGCCTCCAAGTCTGGGATTTGAATTTGTTGTTTTGTTTCAGGAGTCATGCTGGCAGAGCAGAGCACTGTGACTTTTTATGCAAAGGTGTCAGCTATTTACCAAATTTTGTTCTGAAGCTGGGAAATAAACACAACATGGAAAAATGGATCAATTTTCCTATTGCAGTACCGTTCCTGATAGAAAGTTTCCTTTATGCATTTCAAGCCAATTCTTTCAAAGATGTTTTTGCTATTCTTTCTCTTTTTTTTGTGTGTGTGTGTATTTTAAACAATATTTGTAGAAACAGCTTAAAAAGCTTCCAGTGAGGGAGAAATTCCTTGCTTCTACCTTTTGACTGAGCCAGTGGCATTTCGCATTTCATAGCAAAAACTGGTAGACCACTTATCGTTTTTGTCGTGATTCAGGGTGGAAAACTCCAGCATTACGCAATTTCCCATATGTTTCTCCAGCTGAATAAGACGCAGAAGAAAAGTTTGTGAATCACTATGAGGTACTCAGAGACTTCAGGGATGGAGACGAGTGCACAAGCTGATTTAATTACTAGGAGTTTTCTTGTCACAGGCTCTCTGCGGCAAAGCACGTGAGCATTGCTACCATTTCCAGGAGCTTATCCTTTTTCCCAGTTTGAGAATGAGGCTTTTTGGGAAAGTGCTGCTCCGTAAAGGGTTCTCAGAAACTCGAGAAGCATTACTAATGAAAATTTCTACGGTCACAGAAGGCACAAAGCTGATCAAGCTTGGGAAGCGGGACCAGCGCTGTGCCGTGGGAAAGAGAGGGAAAGATGTGCACCTCAACGCTCGCTTAGCTGTGAGAGTGAAAGCCATCCTTTATCTTTATTTTATCTTGCTATGCTGTCAGACACCAGGTACATAAAGAAAAACAGTGCAAACATGCTTTCCTCGGTATATAGGAAAAACTCCGTGCTGTAAAAGCCACCAGATCTGGTTACATCCAGCTCCTTTCTTGTAACTGGGCAGTTCAAGGCACATTTGAGCACCTCTCCTATGAAGACAGGCTGAGAGAGTTGGGGCTGTTCAGCCTGGAGAAGAGAAGGCTCTGGGGTGATCTTATTGCAGCCTGCCAGTGCCTGAAGGGAGCCTTCAGGAAGGCTGAAGAGGGACTTTTTACAAGGGTATATAGTGATGACAAAGGGTGGTGGCTTTGAACTGAAAGAGGAGAGATTTAGATTAGATCTAAGGAAGAAATTTTTTACATTGAGGGTGGTGAGGTACTGGAACAGGTTGCCCAGAGAAGCTGTGGCTGCCCCATCCCTGGCAGTGTTCAGTGCCAGGTTGGATGAGGCTTCGGGCAACCTAGTGTAGTGGAGGGTGTCCCTGCCCATGGCAGGGGATTGGAACTAGATGATCTTTGAGGTCCCTTCCAACTCAAACCATTCTATGATTCTATAATATCTTAACTAACAGCCATGGAACTGGAAAAAATCCAGTGCTTTAAGCATTCAAGGTGGTTATACCTCAATAGGTAAGCACAGTGGCATTGGCATTTAGGAAACTAAATGAGTCTATCCAGCTTGGTGGAGGTTGTCCATCATTGTGGTATTTGGGCACGAGATGCATCAGCATGGTAGGATTGTTTGTCTCTGGCCAGCGTAAAGCCACATAACTGTCTAATGGCTTGAAAAGTTTTGAGATTTGGCTATAAGACAGAGCATGGGGAAACCATCAGAGCTGGAGTTGTTAAAACTCCTGCAGACTGGCTGAATGTGGGGAAGTACCAGATTCCAGGGAGAGAGGAGTTGGGAGCATGCCAGTAAAAATGCAGAGGAAAGGGAAGACCTACAGGTAGTAGTTGATCTAAAGATAACTAGGAGCCTCAGGAGAGATGGAGCCCTGAAAACGAAACCAAACACAAACACGGGTGATGTCAAGTTGTGTGTTGGGGTGTAAGGGAGGCTGTTAGCAAGGTGATTAGGGAAGTGCTAGCACCCTGGCATGAAGCCCTGGTGGCTTCTCACCTGGAATTTCATTGCCCCTGTCAAGTAAAAATGGAGTCCTGATGGAAAAGAAGAATAAAAATAAAAAAGCAATGGAAACTAATAGGAAGACTGGGAGAACAGGATCCACTCCAAAAGATGGCACTGGAAAACACTGGCCCCTTGAGTGGAGATATGATATTTTTCCCCCAGAAAAAAAAAAAATAAATTGAAACTATCTAAAACAGAGCTACAGGAAGAAAAACTCCTGAAGCTAAAATGTCACACTGGACTAGAGCTGAGCTAAGACTAGTGTGAGTTAAATTAGACTGGCAGTCAGAGACAGGGTCTTAAATGCCAGGAAAAATTGAGTCCCTTCTAAAAGCAAAGGCAGGGTAGAAACCCTGCCTGCTTTACGATGGAGCTCGTTAAATATGTGAAATAAAGAGTTTGATGTAGCAGTTAGGACAGCCTTAGACAGCTCGTAGGACTGAGGAGGACCTTAATTCCCATCTGTTTTTGTCAGTGGCAGAATAAAACCTGAGCAAGGTTTTGAACACTGACTGACAGGAGCCGTAAGGGACTCCAGTTGAAATGTCATTTCAGGTCTGAAGATCTGAGAATACAAATGAGGCATGGTGTGCAGGGAGAAAGGCTTCTGTGCCGAAAAACCTCTCTGGATTTCCAGTGGTATCAATCCAAACCCACTACCAGCCTGTCCCTGTGAGACTGTCCTTATTTATAAGGTAATCTAGGCAGAGAGAATCTCTCTCTGCTTATCACATACTCAGGGAAAGGCAGATGACATAAATTTGGTGTTCAGAGGCGAGGAGGCGATGTGCTTTATAGCTATCTGATCTAACTTCCGTTGCGGTTAATTCTTGTTTGAACGAAAAAGAAACCAGATTTTGTAGAGATGTCCTGTGACAGGGAGCACATACCAAGCTTTGATAAGCTGTTCCAGTGGTCAGCTACCAGCCATGTGCAAAATAACCCCCATGTAAAATATTTCTGCTCTGATTTATATAGCTTCTACAGCCAGTGGCTCTCATTACGCCTCTCTACTGAACTTAATTGCTCACTGTTGTAATTTTCCTCTTCCTCATGGAGATGCTTTTTGTCTAGGATATCACTTTGATAGACTTTGGTGGGCTCTTTGACTCCTTCTCTGAAGAAGAAGATCTGTCCTGCAGGGCTTTAATCCTTCCAGTGGTCCTTCTCTGAACCACCTTTGTTTTATCACCTTCTCTCCTGCCTTGCCCAAGACAGAAGTAGATGTTGTCTTGCAGCAACAGCCACTCCAGTCCCAAATATAAGCAGAACAGATCCTTCTGTTATGAAATGATCATCAAACAACTGTGTTTGACACTGCGGCCATGGCATTGTGGCCATGACATCAGTCTATCTGATGTCAGCGTCTTTCCTGGGAGCTGCTTCGCAGGACGGAGTCTGCTACCAGATTTCCAGATATCACGGTGATGGCCGCAGTATAGGAAAACAGAGACTACTGATTAGTGTATTGAGACAACTTGAGTTCAGCTCCTGTGATTCAGGTAGGGTGGATTTTTGCTGGGCATGGATGACTGTATCTGTGGGCTCTACCATCTTTGTCTGTGACTCAGTAGCGGGAAACCATGCTGACCGTGACCATGGCTGCAGTGATGTTTGATGATGTGTTCAGCTAATCGAAGCTTCCACCTCTCACGGGTGTGAGCTAATAACAAGACTATAGGCTTGTTCGGGTGGAGTTTCTCTCCACCCTCCTGATGAAACTCTGCCACTGGGCAGAAAGGAATGCAGGTTTCATTGAGCTAGAGAAGGGTGAAAGTGTGAGCACAACTTGGTTAGCATCCTTCCCCTAGGAGCTCTTTAGGTCTTTCAGGGGCTGTTTGATACAAAACACACATAGCGGAGCATCGAAGAGAAATCCAGAGTCCCAGCGCTGACTCAGTTAATCTGTAAAGAGCTCTTACTCCTTTCTTCCCACACCTGTGCTTCATTCTGGCAGTTTGCACATTCTGTTTGAAGATGTGAGATAGGAAATTGAACTTTGCCAAGCAGAGAAGGAAATTGTTTTCACATCTCTGAAATTCTCGCTTAGGCACACTAACCTTTGGGATAAAAAGCAGGTGTAGTTCTGCAGATAGGAGGAAATCCTCCACACCCACTGTATTTTTCAAAATAGAAGTGGGCTCTGTTCAGTGCTCTGAGAGAAAAAGGGGGAGTCCAGAGACATGGACTCTACATCTGTAGGTTCCTCT